CATGGCACCCCACTCCAGTACTCTTGCCTGGAAAATCCCATGGACGGAGGAGCCTTGTAGGCTGCAGTCCATGGGGTCACTAGGAGTTCACTTTCATGCATTGAAGAAGGAAATGGCAACCCACTCCAATGTTCTTGCCTGGAGAATCCCAGGGACGGGGGAGCCTGGTGGGCGGCCGTCTATGGGGTCGCACAGAGTCGGACACGACTGAAGCGACTTAGCAGCAGCAGCAGCTGTCGGGGGTTTATACCAACCTGCCAAAGGACTTCCCTGGGGGCTCAGATGGTAAAGTATCTGCCTACAATGCGGGAGACCCGGGTTTAATCCCTGGGTCGGGAAGATCTCCTGGAGAAGAAATGGCAACCCACTCGAATATTCTTGCCTGGAAAATCCCATGGATGGAGAAACCTGGTAGGCAACAGCCATGGGGTCGCAGAGTTGGACACGACTGAGTGACTTCACTTTCACTTTCATTTTCTGCCTCGGACTGGAGGCTCCTTTGGGTGTGAGGTGACATGTCCCTGGCAGAACAGCTTCCTAAGACATCTTTCAACGCAGGCCTTCCCAGGCCTGCAACCCAGCAAGGCAGGGCGATGTTCTGTCTCCCTTCACATGCGTGCCAGGCTCACTGGCAAGTTGCTGACCAGCTGGGGGCAGTTCTCATGTAGCCCTGCCTGCCTCTTCCCTCCTGGCCTTCTGGAAATTTCACCCACCAGTGTCCATGCTTCCTGTAGAGATAAGCCAGTTCTGAGTTTGGCCACACCTGACTAAACCGGGGTGGGTGGCGGGAGGAGGGGGGCAGTGAACAGCTTCGTATTAACCTTGCAACTTAAGACAACAAGCCTGAGTGAGCATTCATGAACCGTGAAGTTTCCACCCATAAATCCATGGGTGCTTCCAGTACCTGTCTTTCTGCCTGCTTCCATCCCCAGCCACCTGTCAGCTAGAGGCTCAGTGTTGACAACAGCTAACAGAGACCCAGTCAGTCACAGTGATGAGGCCAGGCCCAGGACTGCAGTTCCCAGAACGCGTGTGAAAGTGTGACAGGAAGCAGGCTACCCATCAGGACACAAAGGCCGATACTCGGATGTGGAGCAAGGCGGGACCCTTCTCTGGTTGTAGGGGCCACAGCTGGACTCAGCTTTGAGGTGTTTGGCCAGACTTAACACCATGTTATGAGCCAGGACCTTTTTATATGGAAGTGACAGAAACCAAACTCTGACCACCTAAGACAACTCTACGAGTTTCCCGAAGCTGCTATAACAAATTACCTAATCTTGGTGGCTTTAAATGACAGAAATTTATTCTCACAATTCTGAAGGTCAAAAGTCCAAAATCATGCTGTGAGTGGAGCTGCACTGCTCCCAGCTCCAAAGCAGAAGCTCTAGAGGAGAATCCGCTCCTGGCCTCCTCTAGGTGACCACCTCACTCTTGTCTTTGCCTGTGTCTTCACAGCACCCTGTCTTCTGTGTGTATATCTAACCTCCTTGTGCCTTTCTTTAACAAAGGTGCACATGACTGCATTTATGGCTCCCTCTGATAATCCAGGATAAGTGCCTCCTCTCACTATCCTTAACTCAATCACATCTTTTGTTACAGAAGGTAATATTCACTCTTTTTTGCCTACATATAAGGTAACGTTCACAGGTCCCAAAGATTAGGATGAGGACATATTTTTGGAACCACTATTCAGCCCATTACAACAACAAAACCCTAGGAAAGTCAACAGCCCCAGAAGTGGCAAGATGATAGCCTCTGCAAGTCACAGGGCCTAGTCCCTCCTTTTGGCTTCTGTCTCCAGGGTAGCTAGTTCCATGCCCCAGACAGCCTCAGCCTACCCCCAGGAACATTCACTCTGGGGAAAAAAAAAAATAGAGAGCCAGGCATGGGAGCCCTATGAACTTTCATTCTCCCCTTGCACCCAGTAAGGAAGCCTACTTTACCTTGCACACTGTCTGATGTTGAAGAGGCTCCATTTAATTAAACCCCATGCCTTGGTTGGAAAGAAGTACTGAAGGAAGACAGCCAGCTGCCATGGAACAATTTTGCTATTTTCCACTAAGTTCCATTCATTTTATCTTCCCAATCTTTTGAAAGACATATGAATCTTTTGAAAGGTATATGCCTATATGTGGGTGCTAAGTCGCTTCAGTTGTGTCCAACTCTTTGCAACCCTATGGACTGTAGCCCAGTAGGCTCCTCTGTCTATGGGATTCTCCATGCAAGAATACTGGAGTGGGTTGCCATGCCCTCCTCCAGGGGATCTTCCCAACCCAGGGATCGAACCCATGTCTCTTATTTCCTCCGCCATTTGCAGACGGGTTCTTTACTGCTAGCACCACCCGGGGAAGCCCATATGCCTATGTGTATGTACGTGCTCAGTCGCTCAGTCGTGTCTGACTCTTTGCGACCCCATGGACTGTAGCCTGCCAGGCTCCTCTCTCCATCGGGATTCCCCAGGCAAGAATACTGGAGTGGGTTGCCATACCCATCTCCAGGGGATCTTCCCAAACCACGGATTGAACCCAAGTCTCCCACAATGCAGGTGGATTCTTTACCATCTTAGCCACCAGGGAAGCCCAAGGATACTGGAGAAGGAGCCTAGCCCTTCTCCAGGGGATCCCATATGCCCATATTTCACTCTAATTACCTTAGTAAAAAATGTAAGTAGTAGAGTTTAGGGCTTCCCTGGCGGCTCAGACAATAAAGAATCCACCTGCAGTGCAGGAGGCCCAGCTTCAGTCCCTGGGTCAGGAAGATCCCCTGGAGAAGGGAATGGCTACCCACTCCAGCATTCTTGCCTGAAGAATTCCATGGACAGAGGAGCCTGGTGGGCTACAGTTCCTGGGGTCACAAAGAGATATGACTGAGTGACTAACATTTTCAGTAGAGTTTAACACACTCTCACATAAAGTAAATCACTTACTGGGTATTTAATCTGCACTTGGGCTACCATATAATGGTGGTAAACAGGGCAAGGCAATGCTTTCACTTGCCTAGCCATGCCTGCTCCAGATGTCCATTCCCACACAGGTGTAGGTAGCTGAGAACATTCCTTTTTTATGAAGTGGTGACAGGGTAGACTCTGAGCTTTGCTCCATCCAACATCCCTCCTTTCTCCCATTGAAAAATATCCTACCCCTTCTTGGCGGGTGATCTTGGTGGACTGATGTCACTCTCTAGGCCACAAATACTGGGAAAGAGAAGTGCCTTTCTCTGCTGAGAGTGCTGAAGGAGAGACCATAGATCCGGGGCTGCTGATAACATCCTGTGGTGAGAGCCTGTCTGGCTTCAGAGTGGAGCAGAGATCAGCAGGAGGAGCAACATCATCTGAACCCCTGGAGACAGCTGTGCCTGAAGCCCAAGCCAGTCTGAGCTTTGTTTGGTTCCAGTCAGGGGAGTACTGGCTGAAGGCGGGAGGCTGTTTGATAGCTGCCCCATGTAGTGTCTGTGGGTTTGGGATGAGTTGCTAACTACACAGTCTCAGAGCCAGTGGCTCTTTTTCTGGTCAGGACAGCCCCAGGCCTGGGCTTCAGTGTGGTCTGTACCTAACCCCCGTGTCTTTGGTCAGGTTCTCCAGAAATGGAGCCCAAGGCAGGGATTCTCAGACCATGATTTATTGGAGGGAGTGCCCTCAGGGGAACCTCTACATGAGGGAGCAGGAGTGGGCAGGGGAAGGAGCTAAACTAGGATGGGATCCAGCTGGGATCAGCTGGGATCCAGCCTCAGCCTAAAATCCCAGGGAACTCTGAAGCATGACCAGCACATACAGCTGTCCCCCAAGGCACGCAGGCCAGGCCTCTGAATTCCTGCCTCAGTCATTGGCCACTGTCTACCTCTGTGAACAGAGTGTAACCTTTTAGGTATCTCTTCTAGAGAAGTGGGCAGCTGTGAGCTGTGTTAGCAGCCAACATCCCAGGCAGCTTGGGGATGGGTTGCACTATCCCAGAGAGGGCTGAGCAAGGCACCGAAAACTTCCACTCCAAACTATCTTCTGGCCCCTACCAAATTCCTACCAGGTTTGAGATGGAGCAGCCCAGAGACACAGAAAATAATCAGGAGTCCCCAGATTTTTGAGGAAAGCTTAGTACCTTGCTCCCATAGTTCTGCCCTCTCCTCCCAAAACTCCTCCACAGAACTATAGATGTGGAGAACTACAGAACACAATGCCCTTAGCATCCACTGGGTCCACATTGGCCACACACTGTGTATTAAACCCTTGTGATAAATTTCCCTCTGCTGCAGGGAAGAATTTGACTCTCCACATGGACAGAAACCAGTTACACAGGAAAAAAAACAAAACACAACACCATTACTCCTTCTTTCCAGTGTCTGCAGCGTAGGGTTCTGAGTGCACTGAGGTGGAGGGCTCCTCTAAGTGAGCACAGCGGGCGATCCCGGGGCTCCTAGGCACCCCATAGGTGGAAGTGTGTCAATCAGGGTCTATATTTAGCTGCAAATAACAGACGCCTGGGGATAAGCGGTTTAAACAAATGAGACACATCATTTTTCACAGAGTACAGCCCAGAGGAAGGCAGACAGACTGGTGTGCAACACTGTCACGTGGTTCCTCTTCCAAGATGGTGCCCATGTTCCCAGGCATCGCCTCCAAGTTCTGGGCAAGAAGAGGGAAGAGCTGAGGCCAGAGGCTGAAGGGCCCCAGTCAGGAGGTCTGTTCCTTTTTAAAGAGCTCTCCTGGAAGCCTTATCTGTGAATTTCACTCACTGGCTAGAACTGTGTCACCGACCACCCCCTAACTGCAAGGGAAATGTAGTTTCTTTATCTGATGACTAGCAGAGAATGAAAGAATAAACAAGTAACCAAAATCCCTGGCACCGGACCTGATAGTTGATTCAGTTCAGCATCCACAGGTCCTGAGAAGATGATGCCTGGAGAGGTTCTGAGGCCATCCAAGGTCACAGAGGCCAGCAGAGGCTCACCCTGCAGCTGACCTTGGTCTCCCGGCTCCCAGAACATAGACCACACGACAAAAGGGCCAGTCGCAGTGCACATGGATTTATTGAGTTATGGATGTCAGTCCTAGTGCTAGGCTGAACCACAGGGAAGATGGCTATATGGCCCGTGCAATGCAGGGAACTGGATTCTCACTCAAGGTGGTGTCCAACAAGCAGCACAGCAAGGACAGGAAGCAATCTGCCAATGTTAGTTATGGGGTGCAAGTGTTTATCATGATGGGTGGTGCCTAACTAGGAGGATGCCATAAAATGCTGCAGTACCAGAGGGAATTTTTACAAGTCTGTTCAGATGTATGCCTTAGAGCATGATAAAAAGTGTCCAGATCTGCAAAGAGCAGTAGAGCAAGAGCAGTAGGCCAGCTTAGCAGACAAGCCAGTCCCTTTTCAGTGGGGCAGCAGGCCACTAATGAGGCCCAATATCCCAGGCAGGGTGGGACAGTTGTCCAAGGTCTGCTGTCCAAGTCAGAACAGGGACTGGAGAGCCAGAACAAGAAGCATGGAGAGCAGGGAGCTCCCCTCCAGGGGTGCATCTGCAGTAGACACCTTGGCAGGTGGGAGCAGAGTGTGGACCTGAGAAAGAAGCTGGGTTCTGCTCTCTACCACCCCCACCCTTCCAGGGCATTCATGCCTCCAACTAGGCCCACTTGCCATGGAAGGAGGCAGTGCGGGGGCTGCCAGCTCACCATCCCCTGTCTGCACCTACCTGCAGGAGACTCTGCTCAGGGTCCTGGTGGGAGTCCAGTTGGTTACGTAGGATTGGGGCCCACCCACCGTCAAAGGTCTGTATGGCACTCTCTGTGGAGGGATGCAGGGTGGGCTTGGCTGAGAAAACCTAGCACAGGGCCCAGCTCCTCAAGGCCAAACTGAGACCCTTGGCATCCTGCATGGGTCCTCCCCAGGCAGATGTGGGAAAAGAGGACGTCTGCAAGGCTTTCAGGATGGATGATGCTAAACACAGCTGTGTTAAGAGTGCCTTACAAACTGCAGTCTTCTCTCCTTAGGGAAGCATGACAATTATCACCCCCATTTTACAGATGAACATAAAAAGGCTTAGAGGAGTTAACTAACTCTCAGCTAGTAAGTGGCAGGGTTAGGCTTCAAACTTAGATTCCCTAACTCCTAGACTGGTCAGCGAACCACCCAGCTATTCAGATTCGAAAGGCAAGACTATTAATGGGGGGAGTTGGCTGTGTTTGGAGGATGGAACCTCCTCAGAAGTGGCAGAAGCAAGGAAGTGGGTCTGCGTGGTGGCTTCCGCTACGGGCCTCAGTTTGCTCACCGCCAGCCAGGGACATCGGGATGCGGCAGTAAGGGCCGACTGGAGTCCTGCCCCTCCCGGGCCCCTCACCCAAGCAGCGGTTCCTCGTAAAGAGCCCCCGGAAGACTTCGCACTCCTCACGCCGATTTCCGCTGGCTCTGCAGTCGCACCAGGGTTCCACGCGCGCGCTTGCGTTGTCCACGTAGTTGGGCGTGATGGCTGTGCCTGGCGAGACCCCGAAAGCAGGGTAATCGGCCCATCCAGGCGGAGGCATCCCCGGGAGATCCCCTCCGGGCGGTGCATACCCACGAGGCCGGCGTAGGCGCGCAGGCAGCTGGGGGCCTGGCCTTGGAGGCAGCCGTCAGGGCTGCTGGCTGTGGTCGCGCAGGAGGCCTGGAAGGTCAGGAGGCGGGGCCTGCGCCGCGCGGCCGGAAGGCGGTGAGTGGGCGACGAGTGGCTCCGACCCCCGCCCGCGCGTTCCGCCCCCTCCCTCTTCCACCTCTTCCGGCACCTGCAGATCCGGCTGTGCTCGCAGGCGTCTAAGGGCCCGAGGCAGGAAGGTGGCGCTGGGCCAGGCCCTGAGAAAGCGCAGGAGGGCACGAAGGTCTGGCGCCGACGCTCTGCGCACGCGGGGCCGCCGCAAGGGCAGAAGAGCAGTGCGTGGGTAAGCGCGGGCGGCCCGCGGGCGAAGAAGTGGCGCAGGGCGCGGCGGCAGCGGGCGCGGGGGCAGCCCCCCGGCGCGGCGCGACCCAAGCACTGCGCCACGTACGCGGTGCGCAGCCGATGGCACCGCTCGTCGGCGGTGCACGCGTCGGCCGCGTCCACGCATGGATTCGGTGCTACAGAGCTCCGCGATCCTGTTGGAGAGGCGGGTAGGCTGCGGTTGTTGGTGTGCCCCCCACACACACTTCACCCCCGCCTCTGGATCAGGGCCTCAGAAGATGCGGGATGCTCAAAACTCGAGGTGGGCAGAATGTGACCCAGAAGCGTTAGCGACTGGCACTGACTGGCCTGCCGTTGCGGGGATGGGCAGCAACGGCCTCTGGGCATTCCTGCAGCACGTCTGCGGTGGAAGCGGAGCGTCGAGGCTGGGCCTGGCTGGCCTCCCCCGAAAGCTGAGACCCACCCTCCCCAGGCGCCACCCCTCACCCATCCAAAGAGGGGTCCTTGAGATTCTTCCCATTGTCCTGGGCCCCACCTGACACAGAAAACAGCAAGGCTTTTGGGGACCTGGCTAATGGAGACGTATCAGAAATGGCGCCGAGGTCCAGAGGTTAAGAGGATCCCACATGCCCCAGAGCAGCTATGTCTCGACTGGAGCCGCAGTTGCTGAGCCCCTGAGCGCACTAGAGCCTATGCTCCACAATAAGAGAAGCCTGCCCACGGCAACTAGAGAAAGCTTCGGGCACAGCAAGGAAGACCCAGCGCAGCCAAAAATAAATCATAAAAATAGAATTAATGTAAAGACATGGCACTGAGCACGGTGGTTGCACCTCTTCCTTTCTTTGACATGCCTGGACGTCTGACTTGTCAGATGCCCCTCCTTTCCCTTCTCCCTTGGAGACCCTTGGAGCGACCTATAGTTTTCTGGTTCCCTTCCTTCTTGACCGCATCCTCCTGCCTCTGCATCTTCCCCCTCCATCCTCTTCTACTGCTCCCTTCTTACCCATCTAACCGGTGCTGCCCCATCTGGATGGACTTTGGCTTCTCCCTGGCCTCTCTCCTCTCCACCAGCCAAGTAAAAAAGGGATTCCTGGCAAGGGCTCAGGTACTGGAGCCATTTAGTCCTGGCTATGGGGTGTGGATTCGAGAGAAGTCCCAGATGGCAGGCCATGGGGTTCAGTCCTTAGCCATAGGGAACTCCACTGTGGACAGAGTGTGCCTGGTACAGCCCAGTCACATACCAGGGGTTTGTTGGGCAGAGGGTGAGCTTTGTCTGGAAGTGCCATGGGCACTAAATGCCATGGGCATCTATATCCAGCCAGGGACTTCTCTGGTGGTCCAGTGGATAAGAATCCATCTGCCAGTGCAGGGTATAAGGGTTCTATCCCTGGTCTGAAAAGATTGCACCTGCCACAACTACTGAGCCCGTGCACCGCAAGAGAAGAGTAGCCCCTACTCGCCACAACTAGAGAAAGCCTGCGTGTGGCAACAAAGACCCAGCACAACCAAAAACAAATAAATTTTTAAAAATAAAAATCAATCCAGGCAAGCTAGAGTCTCTGCAGGAATTTGGCAGCCCCTTCCCCTAGAGCACCAAAACCAGGTTACCCCTGCCCCTCGGTTCTCTCTGCTTCCAGGAGCCTTCCTCAGATGAGAAGCCTTCGGGCCCCAAAGTCTGAGAGAAGTTTCCCAGCCTGGCTCAGCACCCATTCATTTCTGAGTGTGTGTGTGTATAGTGGGGTATTTCCTACCTCCGATCTGGGAGCAGGGCCCCCTCTGGCATTGGTCTTTCCTTTCTCTCTCCTCTGCCCTGCTCCAAGCTCCTTCCCTTCCTTTCAGGACTTCAGAGCAGCAGACACACATTGCCCTTCTCTCCCAGCCAAGCCTTCACATTCCCAGGCCTCGGCCACACACATCAGCTCCTAGTGTCTCCTATGGTCTTGGTGCCATTTCTGTTCTTTGCTTACCTGTTTCCCTCCATCAGGAGCACCCCTCAAAATAGCACATCTCAGCTCCAAGGTCTCCTTCACCTTCTCCAGTCTCCCCACCCTACACCACCTGGTAAAGTGACCCCCTCCCTCCATGATGCCCCAAGTTGGGGAGGGATAGTCCAGGTGGTTGGAACAGAAGATGCATGGCATGGAAACATTGAGGATGCAAGGCAAGGAATCAGTGTGAAGTTGCAAGACTGAAGGTGGAGGGCTGGGCCTGGGAGAAGGGTAATAGAGGTGGGAGGGCAGGCAATAGGAAAAAGAAAGTTCCTGGGGCAAAGTTACCAAGGTGAGATTTGGGAGGCCATGGCTCCATGGGACCCAAAAGCTGGAGGCAGGGTGCTGTTTGTGTGTCCTCAGACCTCAAGCACAGGTGGAACACTGGTGCCTCTTCCTGCATTTTGGCTTTTCCTAGAATCACCTTCTTGTGTTTTTCTTGAGGATTAAGGAGGATCAGGGACAGAGAAGCTAAGGTTCAGAGGTCTGGGGGGAGGCAGCCACTCACCTAGAAGCAGTAGCAACAGCAGTGCGGTTACCAAGCAGCTGGCCATGCTGGGCAGCAAACAGGAGCAGACGACTGCAGACAGAGTCCCTGTCAGACAGGTGCCTCCTTCCCAGCACCCCTGGGTCGCAGTGATGGAAACCTAGGTGTCTATGCTGACTATTCCTCTGGTGGGAGGAGCCTTTGCATTGGGAATGATTCCCGCCCTCACTGAGTCCCCACCCAGGCAGCACCTTCAGATAGATCTGGGAGCCACTTGACCTTGTCTCTCCCATACTAAACTATTAAGTTTATGAAACAATATAATTCTTCTCCTTTTATATTTTTAACTTTTTATTAGCTGATATTTAGACTTACAGAAAAGTTACAACACTGCAAAAATGCTAGTGCTCCCTTTATATCCTTCACCCAGTTTCCCCTAACATCACCATCTTACCTGACCATAGTACAATTATTAAAACAAGGAAATTAACGTTGGTACAAGACACTTAACTGTAAATCCCTTTGCATTTCCCCAGTCTTCCCACTTATGTCCTTTGTCTGTTTCAAGATCCCATCCATAATCCCATGATGCACTTAGTGGTCAGTGTTGCCTTAGTTTCTTCCAATCTGGCAGTTCCTGAGTCTTTCTTTACAAACTGGGTGCTTCCCTATCTGACTCAGCTCAGTGGGTGCCCCCCTTCTTGAGGGAACTGTAAGCAATAAAAACTTTTAATGGCACTAACCTCTGTGTGTCGTTGCTCTGTCATCTCTATGAATCAGAATCCCACAGAGAACCTAGGAGGGGGCTTTAGCAAACACTCTCATTCAGCGCCTTTAACTGGCAGAGTGAAAGCAAGGCCTGAGCCTTGAGGCTGCAACTCTGCTGCCAGCAAGTGATTGCAAACATTTTCCAATTCTTCACATCTTCTGAAATGTGATTTTGCTGCTCCTCCCTGGAGTAAAGGTGGAGTTTACCTCCCCACCCCTGGAATCCTATGACTTGCTTGGACCAACAGAATGTTATGGAAGTAAAACGTGCCTGTCATGGACTCTCAAGAAGCCTGGCAAGCTTCTTCCTTCCTGCAGAAGGACGAAGTAAGGTACTTGTCTCAAGAACACAACTACAGATTTTTTGTTTGTTTGTTTCAGTTTCCTAAAAGCCTTGGTATGGTAACTGACCCTGTCTTAAAATTTTGTTGTTTTGCTCATCGTGGACTTTGTACTAATTTTGATCTGTACAGAATATTACATTAAAATATTATTTATCTTGATTCCTTTTTTTGTGCTCAAGGTAAGTGCCTCCCTTGTTTCACTCTAATCTGGGTTCTGCTCTCTTAGAACCCTCCCCAGCTGTTTGTGAACAGGCCTGGGCTAACCTCTTAGAGAAATGAGAGACACAGAGCCCACTCTCCCCATCTCCCTACCCAAAAGCCAGCCAACCCCAAAAGCAGTGGCCAACAGTTGACTGCAAATGTATAAGTGAGGTGAGTTGAAACCAATCAAACCAGCAGCTGAGTTCAACCTAATCTGCCAACTCACAGAATTGGTTATTGTTTTAAGCTACTAAGTTTTGAGGTGGTTTTGTTAGATAGCAATATCTAGCTGATAAAGAAGCTCACTAAGCAACTCTTGCATGAAGCAAGGGGAGAGAGTAAATGGCTGCTACGAGTGTCCATGGGAGGCAGGAGAGGTGGAGCCAAGGGATCATTCAAGCAAGGTAACACCATCCTTGTACTTCTGGGGCCTGGCTGTCATTCAGACACCACCCTTTGTCACCCTCAGGGAGTCCCATGGTATTGAATTTACAGACAGAGGAGACTCACAGAGGGTCAAGGGCAACATGGCTTTCCTCTGACTTCTTTGAAGTCCTCTCCAAAATGGCTTCCTTTGTTCCCTCCCATGCAGTGGAGGAGGGGTTGATTAACATCCAAAGTGAGGGGAATGCAGCAGTCCCGTGCTCCTCTAAAATCTCACCTGAGGACTAGGAATGGGGTGGGGTGGAGGATGCATCTGAAGGACAAGAGAGAACAGGATGCAGAAAGGGAAGTCCCAAGGATTTTGTTTGTTTTGCAGGGGTCAGGTTCCAGGGAAGTGGATTCAGTCTGAAATATAGGGCCCCTGGAGTCCAGGCTTCTGGCCCAGCAGTCACTGCCCTCCTAAGAGCTAGGTCTGAATAAAGTCTGAGTAACAGACTCCTTTTATACAGTTCCATTCAGGTGACTGAACTAAACTGCATTGTACTGAACTGGACAGTGACTGCAGCCATGAAATCGGAAAGATGATTGCTTCTTGGCAGGAAAGCTATGACAAACCTAGACAGTGTGTTGAAAAGCAGAGACATTACTCTGCTGACAAAGGCCTGTATAGTCAGCGCTATGGTCTTCCCAGTGGTCATGTATGGTTGTGAGAGCTGGACCATAAAGAAGTCAGAGTGCCAAAGAATTGATGCCTTCAAGCTGTGGTGTTGGAGAAAACACTTGGACTGCAAAGAGATCAAACCAGTCAATCTTAAGGGAGATCAATCCTGAATATTCACTGGAAGGACTGATGCTGAAGCTGAAGCTCCAGTATTTTGGTCATCTGATGGGAACAGATGACTCATTGGAAAAGTCCCTGATGCTGGGAAAGATCAAGGGCAGGAGAAGAGGGCATCAGAGGATAAGATGACTGGATGGCATCACCAATGCAATGGACATGAACTTAGGCAAACTCCAGGAGGTGGTGAGGGACAGGGAGGCCAAGGGTGCTGCAGTCCATGGGGTTGCAAAGAGTCAGAGGCGACGGGGACTGCACACCAACACCAGACTCCTGGGACAGAAGCCTCTCTGGGTGCCCAGCCTGACCCAGCGCCCCCTAGTGACAGGAGGTCAGTGACTACATGGCCTTCACTCCTGGATGGATGGATTCTTGCTTATGCTGGAAGGTGTACTCTAAGAGGATCCCACAGCCCTGAGGACTGGGGACAGCACTGTGCAAATTCTGATGAGGTTCCAGGGTCTTGGAGTAGGTGGTATGGCAGTAATTCAGGGAAGAAATTTTGAAGCTGCCTGAAGGTGCAAGAAGTCAGCTGAGTTGCTGGCTGTTCCCCTGAGGGTCCGAGTTCCTTGGAGTGGCAGTCAGTAGCCACCTGTCCTTAAGTCTTCTCATGTCAGGAGTCACTTCACCAGAGACAGGATCTTGGCTTTTGGACTCTACCTGCTGAGAATGAAGTGGAGGTTCCAGGGAAGGGCTGGGGCCCTTTCTCCTCCCTCAGGGAAAACCATAGAACTTCTTCCTCCCATCCCAGGACCTCCAGCAACTGGCCTCAGACAACAGCTTCTCCACAAGGTCTGTCTCATTTCCATAATGTACAAGTTCAAAAACCTCCGAGTCAGGGACTGTGAGATGAGGAGCTAGAGGAGGATAAATGAACTACGGGAGGCGGAGGGCCCTACCTACCTTAGGGGTACAAGCAGGGCTATGAGGAACCGGCTTCTCAAGGTGGCTCTTGGGTTCTAGCAGAGTTCTCAAGGTCTGGGAAGCAACAGGTGGGGGAAGAGTGCTGTGAACAAAGGTGGCAAGAGTCCCTGGTGCAGGGTGGGGCACAGGGCTCAAGGTGATTGGGTGCTAGGTGGAGAGGAGGGGCCCGGCTGGAAAGAGAGACAAGAGCCCATCCCTTCCCCTCCCTCCCCATCTCCTACTGTGCCTCACTCACCCAAGGGCTGGGGCTCTCGAGGGGCTGTCAGGCCCAACTCCATTGGGTGGATGCTGCCCAGAAGGTGGCCTCTGCGTGGGCCATCTTTGGATCTGGGAAGTGGGTTAGAGACCAGGAGACTGAGATAGCGACCATTAGCATGGCACCCTGGGGCTGCTTCGCTGCGGTAGATGCTTACACCCAGGCCACTCTCTCCAGCTCACTTCCTGCTCTCTCCTGAGGGGAACCCTAGAGACTTATGCTTCCCAGGGCCTTGGACACTTTCTCTCTGCAACCCTGACATTTTCCCCAAACTCTGGCACACCCCAACATCTTCCAGCTGTTGATGTCACTCAGGTCCCAAAGAGGGATGGATTTCTTCTCCCAGTGGTACCCGTGTCTGTGCTCCTTGCTCTTGGGTGGCCCTGCTGCCCTCCATGACTCTGAGTTATGCTCAGCTGCTCACACCTCATCTTCCAGGGCCTTACCACTTCCTTTGATATCTCTTTGAAACAATAGTCTCAATACTTTACCAGGTGATGACATGTAGTCGCTGCCTCCTATAAGCCCCCAGTGATGACATACCAAGCTCTGACCACCTTGATCCTCTGCTCACAGACCCACAATCAACACTCTTATGTCAAGGCCCTTTCAGCTGTGCCCTGCTCCTGTTTGGGATGCCCTGTATTCCCATCTCCAGTCCAAACCATGCCCTCTCCCTCATTTTGCCCAGAATGTTCCCAAGGCCAGGCTGTGTCAGATGTGGTCAAAGGGGGCCTGCCTTGCCTCACACCCAGTGAGGAGGCAGCCCTAGACTGACAATACTTGGTATCATGTGGCCCTCACCCCAGGTCATGGAGCTCTGTGTTAGGGGCAGGCCCTTGGCACAAGCCAGCCAGCATCATAGCTGCCCAGTGACAAGGAAAGTAAAGGTGTGTTGGCCCCAGCATTTGGGAACTTGAAGGCGGTAACAGCAGAGATTTAGGCAGAGGAAATGTCAGAGGGCTGAAAGTTCATGAGAGAGAAACTGGAGAGGCCTTGAAGAGCACAGTGGAGCAGGAGTTGCACTCTGAGCTGGTGGAAAAACAGAGTAAAGCCAAGGATAAAGCAGCCTCTTGGTGGGAGAAACAGGAGACAGGGAAAGGGGTACTGAAGCACAGTAATGGGAGCCCTGCATGGACCTACACCTTTGGCTTCACTGGAAGACCACTGGGGCCTCTGCTCAAGGCTTCTTTCCATTGCTTCTGCCTGCCTCTCTGCCCCTAAGGGCAACAGACCCCACCCCAGCAGCTGCCAGGTCCAGCAGAGCTCTGCGGAGCAGAACCTTAGAGCTCAGTGCCTACCCCCTGCACATGAGGTCCCTCCTTGAGCCCCAGAAGCGTTGTTGGAGACAGAGTCCTGGCTGCCGGCAGCAGCACCAGGCCAGGCCAGCCCCGGGGAGCAGAGGGAGCACAGAGCTAAGGATCACTGCCAGCGTGAAGGTGTCCCGGTCTGCGGAGGACAGGGTACGTCTGAGTCCTGAGTGCTCCACGTGGCTCCTCCCCACCTGCCCTCCCTCCCCCTACACCCGTGGGCGCACTTTGAGGGCGCACAGGACCACTGTCCACACTACCGCCCAACCCTGGCTTGTCACAGGAAGGCGGAGCCCAGCCTGGAGCACAGTGGCAATTACGGTTACTATTGCAAACCTGCAGAGGAAAAGAGAAAAGGAGGGTCCCATGAGATTGCGGACTCCCAGGGTCAACCCTCACACACCTTTCAGGCCACTCACCCCACGGCCGTGGCAGGTCATCAGGCAGAGCTCCAGCTCTTGGAAGGTAGTGTTCTGGCAGCGCCTTTCCTGGCACACCTGTGGGCAGTGAGGGCACTGGGCAGTGAGGGCACTGGGCAGTGAGGGAGAGTGAGGCTTTGACCCATGGGACTCAAGTGGCAGCGAGGGCTTGGGTGGGCAGGGCTCACCATTCTAGGTCCACACTGGGTGCCTGCCTCTACCAGGCCCAAGTCAGGCAGGTCTAGCTGGGCTCCGGGCTGCACGGAAGCTCCCCTGCAAGTCACCTCGCGGCTGCCCAGGTGTACGGTGGAGTCCACCGGAACCGCGTGTGGCACCAGTGCGCTCTGCTCCCCGCCCTGGCACTGCAGTTTCCCACACTGCGCATCCCTAGGGAGAAGCGGAGGTGGTCAAACCAAGTGGTGTTTCTCCATACCCTCTTCCCCAGCTTCCCTTCCCTCCGCTCCCCACCTCTGCGCACAGGGTACGAAGCTGCCGTCTCCCTGCTGGCCGCAGTTCCCCTGGGCGTCTCCCGCGGAGTTCACGACCTGGAAGCAAGCCTCCGGGGCTGGACGCGAGCCTGAGGAAGCAGGGGCCGGACTGGGGACAGCCCAGCCTGGAGCCACGCCCCTTCTGCCTCAGTTTCCCTCCCCGCCCACCTCCCCTAGAGCACCAAGCAGCGCAGAACTGCGGATGGGGGCGGAGCGCGCGCTCCTGGGCTCACCAGGCCCCCAGAGCTGCTGGCACTGCTGCTCCAGCGTGGGACACGCGCCGTCCCGGCAGTAGCCGCGGCCTCTGGCGCAGGGCGAGCCGTCCAGTAGGTAAACGTCCGGCGGGCAATAAGGGGAGGCTCCGGTGCAGAATTCAGGGAGGTCACAGTCGCCCGCAGCCGGGCGGCATGGCGTGCCCGCCGGCTTCAGCTACGCAGGTGACCCGGGTGAAGGGAAGGTGGCGAGGCATAGAGAGAAAACGAACAGAGATTCACTTCTAGAGAGCGCCAGTCGGACACGGGAGAGCCCGGTGGGGAAGTTAAGGAGAACCCATGCACAGAGCAGTGCCAGCACCCACAAGGGAACCCGAGGGCTCCAATTAGCCAAGACCAAGAGGCCGGCTCACCCCCACCCTCACCCCGGAGCCTCCCATACCCTCACCAGGCAGTGTGCGCAGCAGCCGCCGTGGGTGCACTGGGCCCCCGCACGCAGCGAGCAGTTGTGGGCAAGGCAGCAGGAGCCGGGGCACTCCTGGAGCCGGAAAGGCGAGGAGAGACCAGGTGAGGGTGCAGCCCCCAGACCTCCGGGGAGGGGGCGGGCGGGAGCCAGTTTGGTCCCCCGGGGCTGGTCTTGCGGACCCCACCTGGCCGGCGCCGCAATCGCACTCCTCGCCCTTTTCTACAAAGCCGTTCCCGCAGCGCGCCTGCGGCACCAGGAGCCCGGAGTCCGGCGCGTTGGAGAGGCAAGCGCCCCCTCCCTTTCGGAAGAAGGCGCGCAGCTGGCGGCGGCTGCAAGCGCTAAACACGCGCGGGAACGGGTGCCTACGGGCGGGGGAGGGCGTCGGGCGTGCGGGGACCACCACCGCCAACCCCTGCGTGTCTCCAATGCCCCCCCACGCCCCAGCACACTGGTGCTTGACCAAGCAGCCGGTAGATGCGCAGACACCGCCTGCGCGAGAGACAGCTCGAATTCTCTAGAGGCAGAACCCAGAGAGGGTAAGTAACTCGCGCAAAGTCACACAGCGAGCGCGAGGCAGGAGGGTGTGACGCCAGGAGCAAGCAGCCCAGGACCCAAGGTCAAATCCCGACCCAGCGCCACTCTTCCCGGGGTTGGAGTCACCTCCAAAGGTTGTTCCGAAAATAATTTATCACATCATGGGAATCCACTTTACCTGCTTTAGGGCGGGAACTGTTACTATCATCCCGATTTCAAGGAGGAAACAGGGATAACCATTTCTCCCACAGAAAGTCAGCAGGGGAAGGCCCAGGTCCCGCCCGGCAGCCCCGCCCCCGCATCCCCGCACCCACGCACCGCGACCCAGCGCGGATACCCAGTAGCCGCCGCCATCACGCAGCCGCCCTGCTCCACCGCTGCCTCCGCGCAGCAGCCGTGGGGGTCGTGGCTGAGGCCGAGGCTGTGGCCTATCTCGTGGGCCATGGTGGCCGCAGCACCCATGGAGAATTCCGAGTGGTCCTGGGAGGGCGTGGCTACGGTCAATGCGGGCTGCGAGGACCACCCCCCAGCACCTCTCCTCCCGCTTCAGTACCAGGTGATGCTCACGGTGGTCACGCCTCCAGAGCTCTCCGCGAGGCACATGCCCTCGACGGGCGCCAGGCCCACTGTGGCGCCGCGGAAAGCTTGGCCCCTGAGAGCGGAGCGTGGCATGAACGGGCGGGCCGGGAGTCCGAGCCGCCCGGCCGGGACCGCGTCGGGGTAGGTGGCACCCACGTGAGCAGCTGAGCGGAGTCATGTGGCCGCCGCGCCCACAGCCCCCGGCGCCACTGCAGGAAGGCCCAGAGCGTGGCATTCGCGTCTGGCGTGACGCGGCTCTGGTCCTGCTCGGTCCACACTTCCAGGCCAGTCAGCACCACCTGAATGTCCAAAGTCCTGAGAATCTGCGGGCGCAGGGGAGCAGGCTGAAGGAGAGCACCGCCTTGGAGCCTGGGCTCCTCCATGGGAGCACCCCTTTTTTCTCCCCTCCGTCCCCTCTCCGTATCTCCAAGTCTGCCCCGTCGCAGTCACCCCCAGAAGGGCTCTCTCCCTGCCGACCCAACCTGATCCACATAATTGGCCACCTCCAGAAGACGCTGCTTGACGTGGTTCAAGTTCCGATGCTGAGTCAAAAACTAGAGAGGCAGAGATACGGCGGCGGCGGTGGGACGACAGGCTGAACTGACCCCAGCCAGGCTCTCCAACCCCCTGGGGGCTCCTCTCACCAGGGTGTGGTCGGCCACTATGTACAGCTCCAGGTACCTCGGACTTTGGAAGGACTCCCGCCTCTCCTGGATGGGGGGGGGGGGTGGGGGTGGCAATGGTGATCCTGAGTGGCAGGCTGCTGGGCTTGAACCCTGACCACCAACCCCAGTTCTCAGACAGCACAAAGTTAACTCTAAAATATTTTTGCTAGAATTTGTTCCTTCAGCTTCCCAAATAAAAATATCAGTACAGGACGCCCTAAGTTGGGGCTGCACTGTTCCTGTCTCTTCTGATTTTAAAGGGCTTTGGATACTCCATTCCCACCCCTGCCCATGCCCCTGACCCTGATCTGGGTGGCACACGAAAGGTCGGTCATGTCCCTTTTGTCCCTTGGGTCCCCATGGCCACAGGCTCCTTTCGCGCTGAACATCTGCTCCACCCGGAAGATCCTATGGGTCAAGAAGTCCTTGGAGTCCCCAGCTGGCCAGGGATGCACATAATAGCTGGCATTGCTGCTGAGTGTGATCAGGCCCCTAGGGTGCAAAGGGGTGCAGGGGAGGGCAGTCAGGGGACATCTTTCCCTAGCCCCAGGCCCAGCCTCCTCCCCGAGAACTCCTCACCTCATCCCAGAGCAGATGCTGAGGACCACCCAGGAGTCCGGGAAGCCCCTCACATGCCCATGGTAGTGGCAGTGATCCTGGAGAGCAAAGGACCCAGCCCCAAATCTCAGCCAGGGCTGAAGTGGAGGGACAAGAAAGAAAGCGTGGTGGGGGACTAGCTCCGGCTTCTCCTTAGAACAGGAGGAGAAGGGGAAAACGGTGGAGAGGCCCCCAGGGGTGCGTCCCCAGCACTCATCACCCTGTCCTCAGGGCCCTTGGAAGCATCTCACCTTGTGGTTGGGGAACAGCACTACTGGCCGCCCATCTGGGCTGTAGTGGGTTTCTGTGTATCCTGGGGCCAGCAGCCTGCTGGGAGGGGGTGTTGCAGAAATTACCTAATCCAGCCCTGCCTCACCCTCTGGTCTTCCTCCTTAAATGCTAATTGAGTAGCTCTATGAGTGAGGCAAAGTAATGTAATGTCTTTTGATGGTTTTGAACTGTGGTGTTGGAAAAGACTCTTGAGAGTCCCTAGGAGATTCAACCAGTCCATCCTAAAGGAAATCAGTCCTGACTATTCATTGGAAGGACTGATGCTGAAGCTGAAACTACAATATTTTGGCCGCCTGATGCGAAGAACTGACTCATTTGAAAAGCCCCTGATGCTAGGAAAGATTGAAGGCGGGAGAAGAGGATGAGATGGTTGGATGGCATCACCGACTCAATTGGCATGAATCTGAGTAAACTCCAGGAGTTGGTGATGGACAGGGAGGCCTGGCATGCTGCAGTCCATGGGGTGGCAAAGAGTCAGACACGACTGAGTGACTGAACTGAACTGAACTGATGAGTGAGGCACAGGGCTAGCACTGAAGAAGCAGCCAAGGTGTGTCTTATATGGGCTTCCCTCTTAGCTCAGCTGGTAAAGAATCTGCTTGTCATGTGGGAGACCTGGGTTTGATCTCTGGATTGGGAAGATTCCCTGGAGAAGGGAAAGCCTACCCACTCCAGTATTCTGGCCTCAAGAATTCCATGGACTGTATAGGCCATGGGGTCCCGAAGAGTCAGACACGGCTGAGCGACTTTCACTTTCAAGGTGTCTCTTAGAGAAAGGAAAGGAGTGACGGTGCATTGCTTAGCTCTGAAAAATCTTGGGCAAGAGGGAGCAAGGTGAAGGTCAGGAAGGAGTCTTGGTAATTGCTTAGATGTGGAAATGGGAGTGTGGGGAGCACCAGGGAGGAGCAGGAACAGGGGAAAGTTTGTGGTTCTCATGGGACCTGTGGCAGGCAGCTGGATCCACAGGTCAGGGGTATTAGAGAGATGGGGCAGGAGAAGAATCAGGAAACACTGCCAAGAAGGTGGACCTTGGAGCCAAGAAGTGTGAACTCCTTAGGTGGCCCTGGCTGCTGCCTATCCTTGTTGGATATCTGGACAAACCTCTAGCCCAGAAGTCCCCACCATTTTTGGCACCAGAGACCGGTTTCATGGAGGACAATTCTTCCATGGATGGGGATGGGGTGGGGTTGGTAGGGGTGGGATGGTGTGGGGATGATTCAAGTGCATTACATTTATTGTATTTCTATTATTTCTATTCTATTTTTATTTATTTCTATTATTTACATTATTCTATTTATATTTATTTCTATTATTACATAAGCTTTATTTCTATTATTTATTTCTATTATTACATCAGCTCCACCTTAGATCATCAGGCATTAAATCCTAGAGGTTGGAGACCCTTGCTCTGGGGCACCTCCTCCCACTCAAAGTTCCTTCAAATCTCCTCAGGCTCCCAGGTCCTACATATCTCCCCAGCTGTCTTTCACTGAGGCTCACCCCTTATTTCCAGAGAAAACAGAAATCACACCTGCAGATCCCGCCCGTGTGAGCAGGGATCCTCCTCCTCTCCTTCTCCAGACCCCACTCAAGTAATGATTTCATCTTCAGGCTTCACCTCACCAGCATCCTTCCCACCAAGATGGATCAACCACAAGTCAATTTCTCTTTGAAGAAAATCCTCCATCCCTCTCCACCTTGGCCTCTTTACCCCAAAACTGCCCCCAAAGACTTGTGATGCCTGCTTCTCCACTCTCCAGTTTTTCCCCCTCCTCCAGCTTTGCTCCCCAACTCCACGCACATACTCAAACCTAGGGAGGAGGTGATGTGATCACCTCTTTTAACACATGGGGATATTGAACCCCAGAGAAACTACAGTTAGGCATGGTGGAACCTGAGTTTGTTCTCACTGCATGGGGGCAAATAAAAAATGTGTATGAAGGATGCCCAGAACAGTGCCTGTGATGAAACATGCCCTTGATAAATGAGAGAGGTTGATAATACAATCTAGATGGTTTCAAGAACCCACTCTCCATCTTAGAAACTCACTTCACCCAGCCCAGCTCTGCTTGTTCATTCAACAGCTCAAAATCTTTGGGTTTGCACTATCTCAGCACCAAAATGGCCTTCTGTGATCTGGTTCTGCCAGGACTCCTGAATGTGCCTTGACCTTTGTAGCCACTGTACTTTTGTGCCTGGCATTCCCGCCTTCTGGACCACCTGCCCATTCTTTTTTTTTTTTTTTTTTTTTTTTTTTTTTTTTTTTTTTTTTTTTTTTTTTTTTTTTTTTTTTTTTTTTTTTTTTTTTTTTTTTTTTTTTTTTTTTTTTTTTTTTTTTTTTTTTTTTTTTTTTTTTTTTTTTTTTTTTTTTTTTTTTTTTTTTTTTTTTTTTTTTTTTTTTTTTTTTTTTTTTTTTTTTTTTTTTTTTTTTTTTTTTTTTTTTTTTTTTTTTTTTTTTTTTTTTTTTTTTTTTTTTTTTTTTTTTTTTTTTTTTTTTTTTTTTTTTTTTTTTTTTTTTTTTTTTTTTTTTTTTTTTTTTTTTTTTTTTTTTTTTNATACATCTGAGTCTCTTTTTCTGTTTTGCATATAGGGTTATCGTTACCATCTTTCTAAAGTCCATATATATGTGTTAGTATACTGTAATGGTCTTTATCTTTCTAGCATGCCCATTCTTGGAATCCATCTTGGATTCTCTTTTGACTCAGCACACCCTATGAGCACCCAGCAGGTGATGCTCACTCATTCGTGGCAGGAAGCTGACAAGATGTTTTGGGGGCTGGGATGAGAGATATGCCCCACAGCGAATCCAGTCTCAATAACCCATTTCAGTCTCGAGGGAGCCAGTCGTGGGCCAGCATTTGACTCTCCCTGTCACCTGCTCCTCCTCTGGGCTCTCACCCCATCCAGCCTCCCTCTGGGGATCCCATCAGTCCCTGCCCCCAGCAGTGATCCTTCCCCAGAGAGAGGGGCATTTCTTGGCTCCCAGCTCTTTCCCCAACCTGGTACTCACTGATTCTTCTCCAGCTCTAGCAGGAGCTCCTGACCTTCAGCCTCCAAGGCCACCAGCCTCACTTCTAGCTTTGGGACCTGGGCAAGAAGGAGTATCGGGCTGAGAGGGTGGGCATCCAGGCCCTCTGCCTGCCAGGGAGCAGGAGGAATATAGAGGTAGCTGACAAGGGAGTTCACGGGGAGAGCACGGGGCAGAAGACCTCCACTCGCCATGGTGGGTGTGGGTGGGTGCGGGATGCGAACATGCAAAGATGTTCCCAAACTCAGAATGTCTGTTCTAACAGCAGCCATTTGATAGAGCCTTCTAGGTTCACTCAGCATCCTCCATGGAGAGATGAAGGGTTTCGGAAAGATGCCATTCCTTGCCTGACGGCCCTGGGCTCTTCTGGCCTTCCCTCCTCTTTCATGCCCAGAAGGCTTCCTCCACACAAGGAGGACAGCGTGGTCCTGAAGATGTTGATGCTGGAGAGTGGGGGAGCCACGGCTTGGGGCTCCTCACAACCTCTCCTTTCACTCCCTGTAGGATTCAGACTTAGTACCTCCACCTCCAATGCTGACAAACTCCTCCCCCCACCACCAAATTTTCCTACACCCCCAGCAGGCTCACCTCACACCTGCCTCCCTGAGCCTGAAAAGTAAACCCTGACCCACAACCCAGGCCAAGAGAAGAACACTGGCTTTCTTCTCAGCTGGATGTCAGGAGGGGGAGCCGGAGCCAGCCTGCCCATCTCTCCTTCCCCCTACCTTCTTTGCGGCTTCCACCCTGTGGGAGTACCCCATCTGCCCCTATTTGTCCACTCAGCCTGGCTGGGGGCCCAGAGTTGGAGCGAGCTGGGAGCCTCCTGAAGAGCGGCTGTGTCTTTGGAATGCTGGCCTTCACCCTGGCTGGCCCTTCCCTCTTATCCCACAATGCACTGTCCTGGGCCTCAGGCCAAGAGGCTCAGAGTCTTGTTGGGGGGGCCCTTCCTCTGCAGGTGGGGAGCAAATGGTCCCTTCCCCCAGCCTAAAGCCCCCCACCCCCACCCCCACGCCCCGAGCATGAGCTCATGTGGCCGGAATGCCACTTGTTTTATTGGAGAAAGGTCTGCACTAGGGAAAGGAGGCAGTCCGTCCAGATAGGAAGCATCCCCTTGCCCACCTCCCATCCCTCCTTCTGTTCTCTGCGGCCCCTGCTGTCCTCATTTCTCCCCTCCGGTGACCCTACCACTCACCATGCGCTCCATCTCCAACCTGAAATGGAGGTGTTTCTTGCCTCAAGGACACGACTGCCTGCCACGCTGTCTGCTGTCCTCATCTTGGCAGGCTTCCCAGGGACAGAGACAGTGGGAAAAGCAAAGCCCCTCTGGCATTCCCCTCCTGTTTGGTCACATCCCAGGCCAGGCCCAGAAGCAGGTCTACAGTCAGAGTGGCCCCAGCATGTGAGGAACAGTTTCAAATCTCAGGCCAGCACCATGCTGATCACTTGAATTGAGGCCCTGAGGGTCTGGGGGACCCAGGGAGGGCCCTAGATTGAGCGGTGCTGGCCCTGGGGGCGCCCTGGCCTTCATGGCAGTGCTCTTCTTGCAGGCTTGAACAGTGGGTTGTCCTCTCTTTCCTGATAATTCAGGATGAATAGGCCCCTCAAGGCGTGGGGGACATTGGCCAATGGTTTGAAGTTTTTCAGACCTTAGCAGGCCTCAGGCTTATGGGTTAAAGAGCTGAGTGACCTTGAGCAGTTTCTGCACATTTTCTGGGCTTCAGTCTGCCCCTCTGTGAAATGGGCACACAAAGGATGTTGGGCTCCGTGGCACATACAGATGGGGACAAGGTTATTCTGGAAGTGTGTGATGGATGACTGTTGGGAGGAGACTGGGGTAGAGCATCCATAAGAAACAAAACAGGGTGGGCTTGCATCTAAGGACAGAAGTAGACCCTGTGTGAGTCAGTAAGGTTGAAGTTTCAGGCCCCTAAATGACAGGGTCCTGGCGAGGACAGCAGTGCATACAGTGTCACTTTGCAAAAAGAAGGTATTTTGCTGTTTTCTTAAGAAGATCCCTGAAAAACTTCAGGCCCCACGAACTCTGGCTACACCTCTGCCTGATGGGATGGGGGCCGCCTGAATAATACTGGAAAGAGAGAGTTAGGGAGGAGGTGGGGGAGAGGAAACTGGAAAATGACTTCCATATGTGCAACCTCTCTCCATCTAGATGTCTCCCACCCCCACCTGCCAAACCTTTGGGGAGGGGCCTAAAGGACTCTGGAAATCTAGGGACCCTAGCAAAACTGCCATGCTGAAATCTGGGGAGGGGCAAAGGGGCCGAGAGACTCTGGGCCTCTACACGGGAAGGAATGGCCTGGTACTGACCGGTTCCTCCAGGGTGACCATGCGCTGGGGTCGTCCATCTAGGCTCCAGTGCAGAATGACTGGCTTTCCAAGGGTGTTTCCTGGGGTGAGGACAGAACAGAAGGTAAGAGGGACAGAGGGACAGAGGGACAGAGGGAAGTTGGAGACAACACAGGGATAGAGTTAGAGGATGTCAGCCGGCAGGAACAGGACACTTCATCTTCAATACTCAAAGGTTTAGCCCGGAGAAGGGTGACTATTCATAGGGCATCCTTGGAACCCAGGAGCTGCCAGGGAGGCAGAAGAGAGAGGAGTCTGGGAAGAACTCAGCTGGGGACTCGGGAACTCTAATGATCTTGGGAGGGGAAAACGGAGATCAAAGATCACAAAGAAGAGACCAAGGCTCCCAAAACAGAAGGTAAAGGAAATGGGAGGCAGCTTTGGGCATTTTTAGATGGGGCAGCAAATGCTTTTAGGGTGAGAGATCTGTGAAGAGAGGATGCCTGTTTCTCTGCCACCATCTGAGAAAAACAACAACCAGATGTTGCCCAGAGCTTCCCCTGGGGCTTTGTGCTAGGAGCAGGGCTTCCAGGGACCCTGGCCCAGAATCCCCCTTTGTGAGTGGGGGTGGGGGGTTGTTCTGGAGTCAGAACCTGAGTGCTCCCAGGCTGGGAATGCTTAAGGGGGCTCCCGGAGCCAAGCATTACTTAGAAGGCGCCTGGAATGCTCCCCTGGAATGCTCCCAGTCCCCCCTAGTGGGCCCCAGAAACTCTCACCACACCCACACCCGCCCTGAAGGAATCAGACCTTAGGCTGCCCAGAACTTGCAGGCAACCTTCCCGCCCCTCTGGCACTCAATCCCTGGGGAAGCCTAGCTCCCAGAACTGACCGCTTCCCAAACCCACCCCAGCCCTGCCCCCAGTGCCGACCAGGCTGAGATGGCTGCCTGTGGAAGTGGCTCAGCTCCTGCCAGACCACCTCAACTCCTTTCTCCTTCTCCATCTCCTCCTCTAGACCCCATCATCAAAGACCTGGGATAGCAGCAGCTCCAGGAAGTCTCCCTCTGCCAAGTCCTTGAGTGGATCAGCAGTTGCCATCAAGGAGATGGGGGTGGGGGTAGGGAAGTGCAGGACCTTGGAATGCAGGCTGAAGGGCTAGTGCCGGGAGGGGTCTGAGTGCATGTATGTGAGCCATGGTGGGGGTCTCAGGCCAGAGAGGATTTAACTAGATCCAACTGGCCCTGGGCTTCCCAAGAGGGAGAGGGGAAGGGGTGCACGTGTGAGTGTGGGTTGGGGGCTCTCTCCTGGCCCTGCACACACACTTTGGCCCTTGGTACCTTGATGGGGGCAAGGAGGCAGAGACGGAACTGTGATGACTAGGTGGATGGGAGTGGAAACAGGAGTCAGTGTGGTGTTGGGGAGCACAGAGCCCCTCTTCATTCCTCCCAGGGGTTCCTTCATCGTCCCCAGACCTCAGGCTAATGCAGGAGCACTGGAATGCCTGTGGACCATGCCCAAGGCCTGAGGGCTGTTGTCTCTCCCCACGCACATCCCAGAACACAGCAGGATCCTAGCGCTGTGCCCCTCACTGTGACACCCCTAGCCCCTGCACAGTGCTCTGGAACCCAAGGCTGCCGTCCCCTTCTTGCCTCCTGGTCAGGCACTTGATGTGCAGGAGAGATTTTTGTCAACCCCATCTCACAGAGTTTGGAGGGGTCACTCTGAGAAGAGACAGAGCTAGAGACTTCCCTCGGGGCCCTGCTATCAGGCACCTCCTGTTTGAAGCAGTTGCTATCTAACCAAACAAGGCAACAGTATAAACAGTATACACACTGCCCCAGAGCCCCGGGGATGAGGCAGTGAACGCGGGATGATGCAGGAGTGTGGAGGCCACAGCTAGTCCCTTAGTGTGAGGCCACAGCAGGGACTCCAGGGCACCAGTGGTCTGGGGCTTCCTGGAGGACCGAGCACCGCTGGAAATGGAGGTCCGGGGACCTTCACACTGGCAGATGGGGCCAGAGCAGAGAATCCAGAGGAGCTTGGGTGTGCTCAGAGGGGAAGGGGCCCTGCCACTCTGCTTAACCATTGGCACAGGGCATCTGGGGGCGAGATGTCAGCCTAACTACAGTTGACAGTCCCTGGGCATTTCCTATGGAGACTTTCCCAATCCCTCCCCAGGGCCTGTCCTGGCCCGCGGGATTCCCGGGGATTTCTGAACCTCCATCCCGACAGTGCCTCCCCTGACCCTGGGGGCACTTCTCACTCACCTTGAAACTCCCCCGTCCCCCACACCGGCCACGGTAGTCCCAGTAGCAGCAGCAGCCCCAACGTGGGGGACCCTCGAGCTCCCGGAGACCCCGGACGCATAGCTCTGAGCGCGCAGCGTCGTCGCTGCGGCTCCCGGCTCCCGGCTCCACCCCGGCTGGATCGCCGCCGACCCACGCCCTATACAGCCGGCCCTCCCGCTCGCACCCCCTCCTCGCGGGACCCCGCGCGGAGCCCCGCCTGCCCCTGCCACCATCGCCGCCCATCCGTCCTGACCCCAGGCCGGCGGCGTGTGCCCTCGGGGAGCCAGATCCATCCCCCTAGACCTCGGAGGGCCGGGGGCGGGAATCTGTGCGGTCCCAGCTTGCGAGACCCTGCCGAGCCGGCCCGCAGCTTAGGTCTCAGAGAGCCCGCTACTCGTGGGGATAGGAAGTGAGATGGGGCAGGGACCCCCAAGGGTTTTTGAGAATCCAAGCGGGGAAGCAGAGACAGTGCTAGAGGCCACCTGTGGCTGCTCGGTCTGCTCGAGAAGCGCCCTCCTCTGTGGTCTTTCGGAGCAGACCTTAGTCCTCACCTTGCCACCAGTCCTGCCCAGAGTGGCCCGGGTGACCGCGACAGGCAGCTGCGGCCACGGCCCCAAGCTAACCTCTGTGCCACAGGGACCCCAGCCCCTGCCCACCGAGGCGCGCGGGTGGAGGCTGGACTAGTGGAGGCCCCGGGCCCGGGGTTCCCGGCCCCGCACAGACAAGGCAGCAGGACAGGCAGGCGGAGAGTGGGGCAGCCCTTTGTCCCTGGTGGTGGCAGATGGGGGGAGGCGGGCAGGGCGCGAAGAATGGCACAAAGCAGTAGACTCCCACACTCCCTTTGGGCCTCGTTAACATTTGGTTCTTGTTTTAAAAAGTTTGTTTACTGAGTAATAAATCTGGATAGCGAGCAGCATGTGTTCTGATAGCAAGGAATGTTAACTTCTAAGCAAATGGATTGTTTTTGAGAATTCAAAATTCAGTTAGTAAGAGTTGTGGTGGGGAGGGTAACCTATGCTGGCCTGATTCAAACATCAAGAAGTATGGTGGGAAGTACAGGGAACAGCGCATCGCCTCAGACCACATCCCTCCAACAGAAAGCTGTTATTACCTTCTTGTATAGGCTTTTTGATTATTTTACTGTGTGTCCAAGACAATACAAACATTTTTCCCCCTCTTTTTAAACATTTTTTGCACCTTCCCCCCCCTCCCCCCCAGTTAACATGCCTTGAAGATCCTTCTTATCAGAGATCTTATTAACACTATTTTTTTTTTCTTTTCTTTTTTCTTTTCTGCAGGAGGAGGGGGGGAGCATGTGCATACTGCAGCAGCATGTGGGATCTTAGTTCCTGACCAGGGATGGAACCCCTGTGCCGTCTGCAGTGGAAATGGGGAGTCTTAGGAACTGGACCACCAGGGAAGTCCACATCAACACTATTCTTATGATTATTACTACTATTCTATTATTATTACTTTGGATTTTAAAATTAACGATATTACACACAATAAAAATTCGCTTATTTTAAGTGTACAATTAGATGAGTTTTGATAACTTTATACACCTGTGTCATCACTTCTACAGTCTAGATAAAACATTTCCATCACCCCCAAGTAATTTCCCTGTGCCTCTTCCCAGTCAATAACCTCAGATATGCAGATGACACAACCCTTATGGCAGAAAGCCAAGAGGAACTAAAGAGCCTCTTGATGAAAGTGAAAGAGGAGAGTAAAAAAGTTGGCTTAAAGCTCAACATTCAGAAAACTAAGATTATGGCATCCAGTCCCATCACTTCATGGCACATAGATGGGGAAACAGTGGAAACAGTGACAGACTTTATTTGGGGGGGCTCCAAAATCACTGCAGATGATGACTGCAGCCATGAAATTAAAAGAGGCTTACTCCTTGGAAGAAAAGTTATGACCAACCTTAGCGTATTAAAAAGCAGATACACAAAAATAAACTCAAAATGGATTAAAGATCTAAATGTAAGACCAGAAACTATAAAACTCCTAGAGGAAAACATAGGCAAAACACTCTCCGACATAAATCACAGCAAGATCCTCTATGACCCACCTCCCAGAATATTGGAAATAAAAGCAAAAATAAACAAATGGGACCTAATGAAAATTAAAAGTTTTTGCACAACAAAGGAAACTATAAGCAAGGTGAAAAGACAGCCCTCAGATTGGGAGAAAATAATAGCAAACGAAGCAACAGACAAAGGATTAATCTCAAAAATATACAAGCAACTCCTCCAGCTCAACTCCAGAAAAATAAATGACCCAATCAAAAAATGGGCCAAAGAACTAAACAGACATTTCTCCAAGGAAGACATACAGATGGCTAACAAACACATGAAAAGATGCTCAACATCACTCATTATCAGAGAAATGCAAATCAAAACCACAATGAGGTACCATTACACGCCAGTCAGGATGGCTGCTATCCAAAAGTCTACAAGCAATAAATGCTGGAGAGGGTGTGGAGAAAAGGGAACCCTCTTACACTGTTGGTGGGAATGCAAACTAGTACAGCCACTATGGAAAACAGTGTGGAGATTTCTTAAAAAGCTGGAAATAGAACTGCCATATGACCCAGCAATCCCACTTCTGGGCATACACACCAAGGAAACCAGATCTGAAAGAGACACGTGCACCCCAATGTTCATCGCAGCACTGTTTATAATAGCCAGGACATGGAAGCAACCTAGATGCCCATCAGCAGACGAATGGATGAGGAAGCTGTGGTACATATACACCATGGAATATTACTCAGCCATTAAAAAGAATTCATTTGAATCAGTTCTAATGAGATGGATGAAACTGGAGCCCATTATACAGAGTGAAGTAAGCCAGAAAGATAAAGACCATTACAGTATACTAACACATATATATGGAATTTAGAAAGATGGTAACGATAACCCTATATGCAAAACAGAAAAAGAGACACAGATGTACAGAACAGACTTTTAGACTCTGTGGGAGAAGGCGAGGGTGGGATGTTCTGAGAGAACAGCATTGAAACAAGTATACTATCAAGGGTGAAACAGATCACCAGCCCAGGTTGGATGCATGAGACAAGTGCTCAGGGCTGGTGCACTGGGAAGACCCAGAGGGATGGATGGGATGGAGAGGGAGGCCAGAGGAGAGATCGGGATGGGGAACACATGTAAACCCATGGCTGATTCATGTCAATGTATGGCAAAAACCACTACAATATAGTAAAGTAATTAGCCTCCAACTAATAAAAATAAATGGAAAAAAGAAAAAATATATTAAATAAATAAATGAATACTGATTGCATAAAACAATAAAAATAAATAAATAAAAAGCAGAGACATTACTTTGCCAACAAACGTCCATCTAGTCATGGCTATGGTTTTCTAGTAGTCATATATGGATGTGAGAGTTGGACTATAAAGAAAGCTGAGCACCGAAGAATTGATGCTTTTGAACTATAGTGTTGGAGAAGACTCTTGAAAGTCCCTTGGACAGCAAGGAAATCCAACCAGTCCATCCTAAAGGAAATCAGTCCTGAGTGTTCATTGGAAGGACTGATGCTAAAGCTGACACTCCAATTCTTTGTCCCCTGATGCAAAGAACTGACCCATTTGAAAAGACCCTGATGCTGGGAAAGATTGAAGGCGGGAGAAGAAGGGGATGACAGAGGATGAGATGGTTGGATGGCATCACTGACTCGATGGACATGAGTTTGGGTAAACTACGGGAGTTGGTGATGGACAGGGAGGCCTGGTGTGCTGCAGTCCATGGGGTCGCAAAGGGTCATGACTGAGCGACTGAACTGACTGACTGACTTCCCAGTCAGTCTCTCCCCCGCTCCTAACCCCAAGCAACCACTGATAAACTTTCTATCTATAGATAAAATGTGCTTATTCTAGAACTTCATACAAGTAGAATCACAAAACATATAGTCTTTTGTGTCTGGTTTCCTCCCATCTCTGCGTCTGAGATTAATTTACATTGTTTCGTGTAGCAGTAATTTGCTCTTTTGTAGTACTGAGCATGCTGGGTGGTATGAGGGAAGCGCGGTTTCTCTATTCTCCAGTTAGGCATTTGGGTGCTTTCCCAGTTTGGATTCTTCTAAATACAGCTGCCACAAATTACTGTGTAAGTCTTTACATGAACATGTTTTCATTTCTCATCTGTAAATACCTAGGAGTACAATTGCAAGGTCATACAGTAAAATGCATGTTTAATTTTTTAAAGAAGCTATTTTCCAAAGTACCTGTACCATTTTACAGTCCCACCAGCAATGTGTCAGAGTTTTTTTATATCCTCACCAACATTTCAGTGTTGGTCAGCCTTTAAAATTTTAGCCATTCTAATGGCTAAAATCTTCATCAGTTTTAATAGTTAAAGATGTCTTTTATTCATAGTCTCCTTTTGGGCATATAAATGGTTTCCAAACACTTTGCTCGTACAGACAATGCTGTAATGGATAGTTTCATGCACAAATTCATTTGTGAGATGATTTCCTACAAGCAGGATTTCTCAGTCAAAAGATATGTGCTCTTGTGATTTGGGCAGATAGAGTTAAGCTGCCCTCCGATTTGTTCCAGTTTACAATTGCATCTGGGGTGCTCATTTTCCTACAGCTTTCCCAACACAGTTATCAAGACTTTATTGATATGATATTTGCTAGTCTGCAAGAGAAAATGGAGTCTTCATTTCCATTTTGTCTTATGAGTCAGGTTGAATATTTATTCACACATTTAAGAATAGTTTGTACGTCTTTTTCCCTGAATTGCCTATTCATATCTCCAGCTCATTTTTCTATTGAGGTCTTTCTCTTAACAACTTGAAGGGACTCTCTATATAAGGGAGATGAACCCTTTGTCTGGAGTATGAATTGAAAACATTTCCCCTAGTTTGTGAGATGTATCCAATCTGGGGTGTATGACTTCAGCTCAATTATACTCACTGCTGAGTAGCATTCAATTGTGGACTATAACCACATGTTTTCTTCATTGACACTACTGTTGCTGGACCTTTGGGTGGTTCTTAGTTTTGAGACGTTATGAAAAAATGCTGTGTGTGTCCTTAACTTCCTCCCTTTCCCTGTCCTGCTTCTTCCACCCCTTTCCTGGTC